GGGGGGGGGGGGGGGGGGGGGGGGGGGGGGGGGGGGCGGAATGTGGTGACTACTTGGTCTTGACCACGAGCGACACGGTGACCCAAGAACGGCTCAACCTGAGTGGGGCAACGAGCCAACAAAAGTAACATGCGGGACAGACCATGAAACGTCCGACAATTTTTCCAAGGAATTTTTCCGTGATCCAGAGCTTTTTTGTGCGAGTTAGCCATTCAAAAGTGGTTGTCACGGGCTTCGATGGCCATATCTACCCGAGGTTTTGACCGTCGCAGGCAGGCCCTGGATACGACGGTAGGCCGCATTGAAGGTAGGTACTACACACGACAACAGTAAGAAAGTGATCAAGCTCTGGTACAAGTCTCGCAGGTGAGCGAGCCTGAACATCTTCAGATGGCGCCCGCACTTAAGAACCTCTAGTTTCGGCCGAGGCTGGGGTTCTCATTTTGCTGATCATCCTCTTGTGGGCTACAAATGGCCGCTATATAGGTTTTAGAGTGGGGTTCTGAACCGAGCTAACAAATGGTGCTCAAGTTCTTAGCTTCTGATTTTTTGCGAGTCTCAATTTCTTAACGGCAAAGTTCTTTAGTGCGGGCGCTATCTGTACCACTGCTGTACTGCTGTACAAGTTGTGCCAAGTTGGTATCTATCTACGGTGCAGCAAATTCACCAGTGGACTTATTACATGGGATATAAACGGGGGCAATGGTGGTATGGTCTTGGCAACGTACAGACTACGGCTGGTCAGTCGTGGAAACACTTGCAATGGTGGATGGTGGACCGGAGATCATGATTATGAGATCGTGAGCGGAGCAACAAAAAACGGAGACTGCGAAGATTTTCATCCCTCGCACGACCGACTCCTGTTGGTATCTCTGTACACACAAGCAGTTGGTGCCTTTTACGAGATAGATGCAGAGCTTCTTCAGCACCCGCCATGCCCCCATTATTCGCTACGAGTTCGCCCCTTACCTCCTTGCACCACGGGCATTGAACAGAGTCTACAGAGGTCACCACAGCTAGAGCAACAGCCCGGCGTTTGCTTTTCTTGATGACCGACATTACAAACTTGCACACAGCCAAACACCAAAACAGGTGGGGGAGATGCGGCGGAATTACATACGTCGATCCGTCTCACAGCCGCCCTCTCACAGCTCACGAGCAAACGTGCCGTGGTGTGTGAACACCTTGCAGAGAGCACGGATGAAAATGCAACACCTCCAAGGGAATCTTCACCTCCATGCCGTGTCTCTGGTTGTGCCACGATTTGGCACAGCACAGCAGCAGGTGCTCAAGGCTGAGACGCTGGAGACACAAGCACCAAACACACACAGCGGCAATAAGCTTGGATCTCCTCCTCCTCCTTCTCCGTGATATTTGCCCTGTCTGTGCATCCACTATTCACGAATCTGCCTTGCCTGTTACACCCTCTGTTGTTGGCGGGCAGTGGCTACGGACCATGCAGACACTAAGGGTGGCCTGCTGTAGCTTCTACAAGACGCGGCTGGGTGCTTACCAAGAGAGACGGAGAAGAGAAGGGCGGGCTGTCCTCGCTTGTGCGTTTGTGGTCGATAGGGCGAGGCAGGGCTTGGAATGACTTGCTTGCCTGGATCATTCGAGGTCGCGAAAAAAAGGGTCGGGTAGCCAAGCAAAGCGTGAAGTCCGGTGTGAGTGTCTGCCATGCCTCGGCGTTCTGCGCAAAGTGGTGATGGAGAAACATGTTCGGTTCCCATCTACCGCACGATGGGAGCATGTTGTCCTGCACATAAGGGATGACCGGATATACATCCAGCACAAACGGGTATGCGACTCTGAAATACTGGTACTAAGACCACTGTTTATGGCAAAAAAATCTTGATCTTCCTTTCTTTCGACAAATGTTGACTTTTTCGACCTTTTGGGCAGTCTGCCTCCCGAACGAGTTCGAATCAGCTGTTCGACCTTTGAGAACAGTCACAGCTTTGGCTGAGATGTCTACAGATCGCCTACATGTTTCGCCAGGGTTCACGTTTGATTTTTTTCCAGCAAAGCAACATGTTGAAGATTCGGCCGAAAGGCCACCTCGGAGCAAATCTTGGGCCAAGATCTGTCCAAAAGCTGGTGTTGGAGAAATCTTGCGTGAAAATTGCGCACCTTGAAAAAATCAAACGTGGACCCTGGCGAAACATGTAGGCGATCTGTAGACATCTCAGCCAAAGCCGTGACTGTTCTCAAAGGTCGAACAGCTGACTCGAACTCGATCGGGAGGCAGACTGCCCAAAAGGTCGAAAAAGTAATCATTTGTCGAAAGAAAGGAACATCAAGATTTTTTTGCCATAAACAGTGGTCTAATGTAGGTAGATCGGAGGAAATTTATTCAAATCACACGTGGCGGCAGCTACCGCGTACTCCTGCTTGAGTAATGTAGGTCAACATCTGCTTGTTGGCGCACTTTCGCCAGCGACAACGAGGCTGCACGGCAAGCAAGAATCCGTGCAATGGTAGACTACGTAGATCACCACCCTCCGAAATATTTACGGGAAATCGATAACAACAACGCAGATATCGGCGATGAGCCTCTATCGTTTCCGCACTCTCAACACGCACCCACCCGAGGGGGTCAGAGAGCATTCTGAGAACTCTGAGAAAATGAGAAGCCAACAAATCACCAGGCTACTGCACATATCGTGCATGGTACTCTTTTCAACCCACCGGTTAGCTCAACAGCTTTTCCGTTGGAAACAGGTAGGTGTGCTCTGCCGAGGCCTGCATCTATCAGGAGCATGAGAGAGGACAGCCGTGTGGTGCTGCGATGGTTGGGTCTTGGGTGCAGGTTGATCTCGAGGGCCCTTGGCGGAGGAGGACTGACTTATTTCGTGGTCTGGGGTGTGTGGGGGGAGAGGGACAATCCATGTGAACTTGTTGTGTGGATCATGATTCTTTTTTTTTTTCCCGTGGTTTCCATCCATCGTGCCAGAGACGGTAAAATAGGTAATACAAGTAGACCTATCGTCTTCTGCGCTCCGTTGATGTTAGAAAAAATACATACACACACAGAAAGACTACCCGTTCGAGATATATATACCCACGTTCGAACGGGATGTGGTGGAATGTTTTCAGTTAGTGGAGGAAAACCGACTGTTACGAAAAATGTATCCTTGATGATGAGGTGTGTATCTGTTGCTGATCATGTCGTCAGTCACTAATTACAACCGACCGGTGTGTGTATTGAAATAGTCCATATATCTGTCCATAGAATTACGCTTTTTACTTGAGTGGTCGATTTCTAGAATCGCCCTCCCACCCCGACAAATTGCTTGAAAAACATGTTTGCACATGAGGTTAAATGAAACGACACCCTCGACGGACAGGTACAGAAGCGACACGAGTGCCAACGTACTCACCCTGCCCGTCGTTGCGATAGTCTCAACACAGAATGTATACTCCGGAGTATTGCGAAGCCCTCCCCCATCGATTTATGGAGGCCTCTCTTCTCGGCTCGTGTATGTCACACCATGCAGTAAATAGTTAGCGCCCGCGCTTCAGAGCCTGGGGAGACAAGACATTCAGGGCAAAAACGAAAGACTGATGATCTAAAACTTGGGCATCAGAACAAGTGCTTCGTCGAGAAGCCCACCAGGGTATACTAAAACCCATGCAGTTGCTGTTGGGGTACCATACGGAGAAACTAAGACTCGAGTCTCGGCCAAGACAGCCAGCGTGATTGCGGGCGCTAACTAACGGTGATCGTCGCGTTTCAAGTGGCCTAACGAGCTCCTTGGTTGTTCCACAATGTTGCATCAGATGCGAATGACTCACCTTGGACGCTGCCCATGGCGGCCTGAGTTTGGTAGTCCTGTCTTGTCTGTATCTATCTGTACCTTACGGTCTCTCAAGCTGGTGCCTGGAGACAGATCGGGTCTTGCCTAGATTGGAGCTAAAAAAATATCCAACATTGGGCTCAATGCGTTCGAACAGCACAGCTAACAGCACGTGATGCGAAGGAGAGGGGGGTAGGTAAAAGTGCGATCGTGGGCAAGCTTTTCTCTTCCAGCCAGCAGTCAGGTGGTGTTGAGTGATGATGGATGATTTGGTAGAGGTGTTAGGACGAGACCGCCTCCTTCAAGAAACGTAACTGTCGCCTCTTCGTCCAAAGGTGCGGCTTGACCACCGACTTTTCGACACCCTTTTAGGACAGACGAGGGAGCATCCGACCGCTCTGGACCCCCCTCCATATGTCCCTTGTGTTTAGTGTATTGCAACCAGTATTGGATGTCGGGTACTCGGATTCGGCCGTTGTACATCGTGGTACAATGGCCTATCTGAATTATCCACACACGCGCCGCCGGAACAAGATAACGGTGGTGAATAGGTTCCAAAATTGGGACCCGGGGCGGGCCAAGGAGCCGGGTGTTTGTGTGGTTGTTTAGCCCGCCCCCGCCCCACCACCGAATCCACTGAATGAACACGTAATACTCGAGTAAATAAAGCTGTGTACTTGATGTGGGTATTTTACTGAACCAAGCAGATCCTGATTGTATTTCAAGCTTGACTATCTCACACGAAATGACGGAGTCGCTGTGTGTGGTGCTGTCGTTCCGTACAAGCACGCAAAGATCTTACGGAACCTGGAAATTAGTCGTGCTGGCCGAATGTGAAACATTTGATTATGTACCACAGGTGCCTAATCAACCCATGGCATTTATATCTGGTTAGGCGCAGCAAGTGCAAGAATGATGAGTAGCTTTTGGTTCATCCTCGTGAAACGTAACCTGGGCCGAGGAGACTCCGGCATATCGAAGCGTCCCGGCATTCTAGAGATGCGAGGTCAATGGTCTAATGACTAATTCGGAATGCGTTTTCATGATGAGTACACCCCCGCTGACGAACCCACTCGCCCTGCCCGCTCGATCGGTCTATATGATAGTTCGTTTCAAGGACTTTTCCAGCTGAATTAACGGAAGAACACATTTAGAGGGTACGGAGCCAGATATTGTTAACCCCCTCACCCAAGGCGAAGGGGTAGATAACCCACATAGCGGCCTATGGTATGGATGGGGTCCGATGATATTGGGTTCGTAGTCCTCAAAGGATGCGAAAGAGGAGATACGAAGAACGATAAACGATGCGCCGAGAATTTCGGGAATAGTCTAATGGTCAGGAGGGAGGGAGATCGGAAGTTTGTAAGCAAGTCGCACGTCGAAGAGGTCGAGATTATCGTCGGGTCTGCTGCCACAGGTCGTCAACCCCTAAACTTTCGCGGCGGGGCAAAGGGGGGGGGAGCAGATTCGTTCCATTCCGTTGGTTTTGAATTATGGCACACGGTTGGGCTGTGGTGCACTCCACCGTGTGACGAGCAGACAGATGATTGGACGATTCGACAATTGCCAGGTTTGCTTGGCGGCGTCGTAGAACACGCCCCAAACCAGCTTCGAAACATAGCTGGTCGCGTGTACGAACATCAGTTGTCTGTCGTGTGGCCGGGCCCGAAAGATACTGGCCGTCAGACATGATAAACCATCCTTACCACTTGACGACTTATGGCGGGTCTCCGGATGAGCGTGCGGCTGTGTACGTCTGCCGAACCTCGGACAGATCGTAAGTTATGGATGGGTGCGTCGTCAAAGTTGTCGGCACATCGTACGTTACGAGTGGGTGCATCGTCAACGGGGCATGGCCAAAAATCACCTCTGTCGTGACGTCGTGGTGTGGTCCATGAGTTGCAACACGTTCAGACCATTTGTTTTGGATTTTTTTAGGATCTTGAGTTCTCTGGGAGTGACGGGTCGGCACCCCTCCAGTCAGCCACCCTGCCATGAGCAAAGGAGTTCAAGTCCCCGCCAGCGTGAAAAGGTAGCAGAGCAAAATCGGCGAGCTGCAAAGGCACACGGCCGCAAGAGAGGTGAAACTTGTCGAAGAAGTGACGTCACTCAACGGTCACCGCAGCTTACTGACGGCAGTCACATTTTCACGGCAGCACAGTCAACAAATAATGTCTCGAGTGCCATGCAAATGAAGATCAGTTCACACATACTAAAAATCCGAAACTCTTGCTGAGAAGATGACAAGGAATCCGTGTCCAGGCTCACAATTTGAACGCCGAACGCATTGCTTGCCCGAATTTGAAGCATACGCTGCCCGCCGTTTTCCTGAATCACGAATAATAAGAGGCTCCAACCCGACCACTTCCACCAGCAAAATACAAGTCTACAGTCCTTTTATCACACCTCCTGACAAGTGACATCAAGGCCAACATATGAGTCTGGTGTACGGGTCGGCACCTGCCGATGGTGGTTTCAGCACATCGTCACGGTGTTTGCCGTTTACACTCACTAACACAATATTACCACAGTAGACTGCAGCTGCTGAGCCACGCGAGCAATCAACACAAAAACCGTACAGGGCCATCCCGAGAACTCTGAAGCTCAATCGGCGACGAATGGCGATGAATCATCGATGTCGTACAAGTATACACATGAAAGCCTTGATCTCTCGGCACAGCAACACGCTCCCATCCCATTGTCGTGTATCGCTTCACCGCAAAAACACATGACCAATCAGACACGCCCTGGTTATGGATTTCTTTGCGCGAAAGAAAAACAAGAAGGTGTGACAAGTCCAACACCATCGATTTACATCTTGAGCGCCTGCGTCTCGTTGGTGGTGATCATTTCCTGACTTGAGGTACCCAATAGATTGCGGTACGGAGGCCCGATAGAAAACATGTCCGCTCACGATAGTCCAGCGGCGAGGAAATCAGGCAAGAGCAGCAGCAACAGCAACACGCCGTCCGTCCGAAAAAAAACGGCCCAAACCGCCTTGTCTGCGCACCGTCTGTAGCTCTCTCCCTTTCTAGCGTCAGCTTCGCGGAGTAAACTGGACCGAGCGGGCGGACCTCTTGACCAATTACATGGACTGATTCCTCGGGAAGACGCCACCGATCTGCTTGACGCTGTGGAGCCTCTCCTTCTCCCTCTCAAGCTCCAGCTTCTCCCTCTCCGCCTCGCGGGTCCTCATTTCCAGCTCCTGGGCTTTCTTCTTGACTGCCTGTTCCAGAGGCGAGAGATGGTGGTTGAGCGTGTATGTGGGAGAGAGAGGGCAAGAAAGAAGACGCTTTTCCAGCAGGAACGCCCTTTACCTACATGGCCTACTCCGGCTTGTGGGCATTCTTTTACTTCTTTGTTTAGGGCACACAGGAGGACGTCGGTGTTGATGAGGATAAGGAATGGAACGTGTTTGACCCCCGAGTGAAAGTTGTCCTTGTTCGAATAAGTTGTGCTTTCGTTCGATTGTGTCGCATCGCGCACTCTTCGACACAATGCAATTAAACTGTGAAAAACATGATAGCATTTGTTATGCCTCGCGTCTCTCATTCTTCTCCTGAACTCGTGCTCTTCAAAACAACGCAATCCCACTGTGGGAAACATGGTAGCATTCGGTATGGGTCGCTTCTCTCGTTCTTCTCGTTTGCCGTGTGTTGATGAACTTCATCGACGGAGCAGCCGGGGCGCAAGCCGAGAGCGCCGGACCAAAATCTGCACGTCGAAGACTGGACACGGGTGCTGGAAGTTTTCATTCTGATTCGTTGATGTTCGCTGGGCTGTTCGAGTCAAAAACACGTCAGCGGTGTGAGCTTGTTGAGCTTTGGGAAAGGTCACATGACAGCCGTGGGTTGGTCCTGCTGCCTGCTTTATTTTCCATCGTGCGTCACCCTTTTTGATGACACTGTGCTCTCATGAGCCAGTCCACTCCGGAGGGATCACTTGTTTGGAGATACGGGCACTGGCGCGACGCCGGTGTTAACTCACTTGACAGCTATTATAGTCTTAAGCTCCAAATGTTGGGTTTGAGAGCAGGGCTGATACAGGTGCCCCACGAATGCGAGACAACGCTTGTTCGAGCTAAGCAATACCAGACGCTATCCGAATCTCTCGAGCTTGTCATCAGGACACGTACACTGTCAGCTCGACCCCAAGGGTTCGTGGACGGGGCTGGGGCTGTGATTGCCGCACCTGCTCACACTGCGCGATGAAGGGCGCGACCTGGGTCTCCCACTTCTCGTTCCACAACATGAGCGCGTGCTGCTCTTCCGCCTCGTAGCTCTGGCCGATTCATTTTCATTGTCATTGAAGGTTGCGACGGCCGCAGCAAGCAAGTAGACGGGAGCGTAAGCCTCGATGGGGTTGTTAGGGCCTGTGACCACGGATACTCATTTCCAACTGGTTTCGGGAGCGGTGCGAAAGGCGAGGTACAGGACATCAGAGGTCAGCACCGGTTTGTCTTGAGAGAGCAATACAACAGCAGTTTCCTTGTGCAAGGCTCGAGAACAAGACACGAACAAGAGACATGTACCACACACGAGGAAGGGCTAGCATGTTAGCAGAGATGGTCAGATGCGGTGGAATAGGCCGGGAGAGGCGGATCGTTAGCGTCCGATGGAAAATCCCCGAACCACCGCCGTCACGCCGCCTTGAAACTACTTGTGGAGTGTTTTTCGCGTCGGGGTCCATGCGTCGAGGCGCTCCAATCGTCGCAACAACATCTGTTCGTCCAACGACAAACCCAAAAACTTGTTAGTTAGGCTGTTGCATGTAAAACCAAATCTTCGCCAGAACGACGAACACCCAACGTGCGTGTCTTGCCGGGAATGCGCTCCGAGCTCTACAGCGTCCAGGTGCCTTGTTGTTCCCGACGTTATTGCTGCTGCTGCTGCTGCTGCTGTCGCCGCCGCCGCGGTATCAGTATCGTGTTGGAACCCAAACCCTTTCAAACATAAACCAATCCTAGCGTGCATTCGAAAGGCAATCCCTCCGTCGTGATGAGTAGCGTCGCCGACTTCAAGTCGCAGCCAAAACCACGCACACATGTGTGTCGTACGTGCTGTTTTATTGGGGTGGGGTTGCGTCTCGTAGTTTTCACCGCAGGCCAAGACCCACAAAAAGCTGACAGCCCTTCACCTTGACGCATTGTGTTGCCGACTCCAATTTCCGCTCGTCCTCCAGCATCTGCTTCCTCAGCTCTTGCACCGCCCTCAGCATCATCGCTTCGTCTGCCCTTCCCTTCTGCACCTTGCTCTGATACTCCTTTTTTTGCTGATGAATCAAGCACACGGGCGAAAAGAAAAGTACAAAAACTTCAAACTCGATTGAGTAAAAGGGCTGAGATCTTCGACTACAAGGTCATCTCTCTTCCTCAACATAAATGGTGCACCACCCTTGCCGTATCGATTGGGCCGACTTCGGCTTCTGCAGGAAGCTCTGTAAAACTACTTCTCGTATTTGGCTAGAGGAAAAACAAAGCGTACTCAGATCTTAAACAACATGGTCATGTGTGTGTGTTTTGCAAACGTCTGGACCTGCTTCATACCAACACAACCACAGCTATCGGAACAACAACACCAACACCCAAAACCACCAACAATGCTGGAAAAAAAAAACGTAAACTCATCAGACTCACCTCTTCAAATGGTTGCCGTTGAGCCCGGGCGTCTTCCTGGATCTTAACCTTCTCCCTCTGTAAGCGAGCCCCGAGGATCGACAGATCGGCTAGCTCGTCCATGCTAGCGTTGGCGAAGTCCATGGTACTGGCATCCTCAAACCGTCCAGAAAACCCCGGGAGAGCCCGAACTTCCGCCGGGATCGGCACCGGGGTCGGACGCGCGGGGTTCTCCTGAATAGCGGCGTTTTCGTGTTTCAGAATAGTAACCAGTCGCCGACACCCAACGGACAACAAAAGAGAGAGGACGAGATATACAAGTCAACAGGTATGTCACAATCGGGCAACACAGGCATGACTGGCACAATCCACACCCTGGCTACAATGCCACTGAACACCTTCCGCAGCGTTTCACGCACACGAAATACCACTTGGCAAGGCCACAACACAAAAACACGACACAAAGGCAACAAAACCGTTCGTTCTCCAGCCCGCTGGAGGGAGTTAAAAAAAAGAAGCTAAAGCACAGATTGTACGAAATACTTGTAGGCAGACACATGATGCACAATATGTTGTTGGAGGTGAAGGTAAGAATAACAAGAGGCTCCGTGCGTGAAGATTGACACGTGAATCATATCCAGGTGAACCACGTGTAAAACACAACAAATGCCGTGTGTGCAGAGACCCACACCCAGACCATAACCAGCCCGCGAGACGAACGTGCAGGTCATGTGCAGGGAATCGTTGGAGTTGAACTCAAGCACAAACCTTGTGCACTTGAGGTGCAGGCAAGGCCAAGGGTCGACCCCCCCCCGGCGCCGGCCCCCCTCCGCTCCCCTCCTCATTCATCAGGCCACTCCGTACTCCGCTCCCGCTCCCGCGCCCACCGCCACCGCCACCGGCACCAGCATCTCCGTCATTACTCGGACAAAACGCGTCGACCCTCGGGTAGCAGCCGCCGCCGCTGCTGCTGCTGCTGCTGCTGCCACCGCTGCAAGCGCCCGTCTCCACGGTCAGGTTCTGCTGGTACATCAAGGTGGCGGCAGCGGCCATCTCTCTCGGGCTGGCGTCGTACGTGCGGGGCTGCTTTTGCCTGCCCCCGGCCGCTGCCGCCGCCGCCGCCGCCGCCGCCGCCGCCTTAGCTGTCGCCAACCTTGTTCTCTTTGGTGCCGCGAGACCAGGGTTGCTCGGAGCGGCGGCGGGGAGACAGCCGGCGGGCGTGATCGTTATCTGCGCAAAAGCTTGAGCTCTGCGCATTTCTGCCTCGCAGACCTGGAAAGGGAGGGGGCGAACATGCGCATCGAAAACAGGGCAACGCCTGATTCAGCCGCCGCCGTCAGCTAGATTTCTTACTCAAGCGGAAAGATCCTGCCGACCAGTGAGATAGCATACGACAGTTCAATGCTTGCTCGGATTGTTCGGCAACTGAAAAATCGTCCCGGCGGTTCAACCATCCACACCACAGTAGAAGACACCATAGTGCAAAAATATTTCAGCTGAAGGCGCGACGAGTAGGCATCATCATCAAGACGTACAAAAACGACCTCCGTGTCAACCACAGCTTCAGCTGTCGCAAGGCCCCGACTGTTGACGAGGTGAAGAGGCCGGCTGGAACGTCGCCACGATGATGGAAGGCGTACACACCGCAAAATGATAAAAAACAAAATCTGCGCGGTAGGGAGAACGATACCTGCGAGCGACAAACACAGCAGATGCGGAAGATGTACACACACAAGCAACGATGACGATATTGACCTTGTATATGACGATCCTTCTCTGGCGGGGGTCGTGAACGCCGATGGTGTAGAACTCCCCGAACTGGTTGTTACGCCCTCGGCCCCACACGTTGCACGTAGACGTGGTCGTCTCGACCCACTCAAACGAGTGCCACTTATCGTGGACTCTGATCGGCGAAACACGACGGTTTCAGGACGTACAACGTCAAGGTCGACACGAATCAAGACGCAGTGCAACTTAGAGATACCCACTGTAGAAAATCAGTCCAGTGTTTGAGACAGCAGAGCAGTGGGAGGATCGCCACACACGAAGAGCATACGGCGTTCCAAGTCCACAGCAAGGATGAGAATGGGGCAATGGACTCTGCATCGATTTTGGTCGACTGGCGCAACGATGCTGCAGAGCGTCTGTTGCTCGAACGGCTATCGATGAATCAGCGAGCCTCGCATAGGAAAACGATCATCTTCTGTTCTAGGAGTAGCGACCACGGTCATGGGACTCGAAGGCGAGGGTGTCCCCCATTTCTGCAAGAGGTCTTGGTCGACCATCATAGAACATGTGTGTCGCGCTCTCACTCGCTGACCGGTGTCCACCTCTAACCCCTGTTCAGGCCCTTGAATAGCGCGAAAACCTGACTGTTATCCTGTCTCGCGTCAAGTCTTTTTTTCCAATCGGATCTCGCCAACTGCCGCCACATTCGGCTTCTCCACTTTTTGCGATATGCCACGTTGTCGCCTAACCCGAGCTACACGACGGTTAATCGCTCTTGACCCCAAGGACGCTCATGATACCCAAACCGCGTACTTATGCACATGGCGTGAAAAATCCGTGTCACAGCATGCATCATCCCACCGTTTTGCATTACACACCCCGTCCAGTGTGCCGCTTTCCCGCCTGAACCAACGGTACCCACCGCTACTCACTCTTGAACAGACGGGGCTGACGGACGGGTGTTGGGCACTTGTAGGTTAAATCCTCCATCGTACACGCCCTTGTCCATGAGGACCATCAAGAAGTCTTGAGATACGTCATCTTCTCGACGTGGCCGCCACGACCCCTACACAGAGAACGGAATAGAGAAAGAAGGGAAAAAAGAAACAAACAAACAAACAAAGAGAAAGAGAAGAAACATCCCTGTCAAAAAAGGGGGTCCTGATCAGCCTCGAAAAGGGACACGAACATTTTCCGGTGCTCGTGCTTCGTGCAAATGTTGTAAGCCTCTGAAGAACGTTTCGCGATAAGAGCGTACAAAGAGTGGTTACATGGTAGAGAAACCTTTCAATGTACTGTGAGCACCGCAACGACGATGACAACAAGGACTCGTCGTGCGTACTCACGTACTGGTGGAACAAACACGGAATCCTGACTCTGAATGTACAGGAAAACTGAGAGGCAAAATCACAACTAGGGCACGTAAAAAGAACCAGCGGGCGACGGCTAGATAATCACGAACAAGGCAACGGCGAGGGAAAACCCACTTGACGCACAAGGCAACAAGAGGCACCGGTCGTCTCGTCAAAAGCGCTCAACTTAATGTCGCCATTTGTGAGCAGCGTCCCTTCGAGCAGTGCCATGTAAGACGTCGGGATGAAGCTGTGCAAGGACTTCTCCTTACGCGGCTCGGCCGTGGCCCTCTGCTTGTTCTTTGGCCCCGGCATCACCGCCTATTGCTCACTCCCCGCCCTTCCTGCCCACTGCTACAGCAGTCTGTAGAGCCCCGCCGCTAGTTAGCTGGGTTGAAAAAAAGAACGAAGGGTTGGGTATAAGGGGGGTGCCATGGACATGAGAAAAGGTTCGAGATGCTGACGAGGTGGATGTCGTACCAGGAGCTTTGCCGCTACGCATGGGGAAAAAAAAGGCAAAGAAGTAGGGTTATGCTCTTCACACCCGTACTAAATAGCCCTGATATCGGCGAAATAAGTAAGATTTGTCCGACGTAAGGCACACAAAGCTTGACAAGTGTCGGCCAATTGAGGGTTTGTCGTTCAGGTCCACTCCATGGGCATCTTTCGGGCGGGGGGGAGATTTGCGCAGATTCCCTCTTCGGCCACCCAAGAACCGCGTGCCTGGATCGAGTTTCCAGAGTCTAACTCCAGTACGGATCAATGCATACTCAGTAGAAAGCGTCCGCACGAGTCGCGAAAAAAATCCAACAGGTCTGTGTGGGTGTCTGTCAGTGAGGGCAGGCGGGCGAGGTGGGTGATCTCCTCCCGAAACCACAATATTATAGGAAAATAATCAACGGAGATGACCAATTGAGATGACTGGTTTGAACCTGAGGGGCTCCAGTCGCGAGGCATATTTTGCATGTCACCACCAACGAGATGAGAGCGGTGAACGTGTGCTTGCATTCTTCCGAAGAAGCAGATACGCTGCTCAACAGCCTACAATGTGAACCATGACGGGGTCGTTTACCAGAGGCAACCCAGTTTCGCTAGGCACCTTGCCTGCTAGGACCGGTGGGCAAGGCACCCGGTCTATGGACCATGCATCTGGCCGTAGCAAGAACATCTGCAGACCATATTTTCAAACATGCTCGGCGCGGTCGATGTTGACACGAATGCGTCCATGGCTGCGATGTCGGCTAGACACAAGCAGTCTACACCACCTCTTCGGCTGCTGCTGTGTACCGCGGCGTATGCCAGCGGCGTACGCCAGGAAGCTGATCTCAAAAACTGATGAGGAAATGAACAACCCGCTGAAATCAATTTCAAAACACGATACCACCTCGGACGCTCTACAATGGTATTGTGCCGCTGTGCTGTTGATATGCCGTCCTGCACCAGCGGTCTCAGGCAAGAAAACTGCCCCAACTTTCCCCAGTGAACCAAAATAGGGAAATGCTTCGGTGCAGCTTCCCATGAACAAAACCAGACACGACACCAAAATATACTGCATCGATCGATTGCTTCGGTACACAGCCCCGCCGTATGGACGCCATTTTTTTCGCTGCCATTTCCCTCAGCGAGGTCTTACACGGTCCCTCACCTGTACTCTTTTCCTCTCCAATTTTGGTCCCGACGGGGCACAAACTAAATCTTCCTCCCAAGCGGGAAGAAGTGAATCTGTCGTGTGGTTTTCCAAGCGGTAGCAGCACTACCCACAGCCCAAGGTTGGCGATAGTGGGTGTCGTGCTCGGTGCTGTGACTGCACACATCTCCTCCGACCCTCTTGGCAGATGGGGGGGTAGCGAACAAGCCACGGAGCCCCGACGGCCTGTCTTGAACATTCTCGGCCCCGCCTGCCTGCTGCACCAGCATTCCACAAGGCGAAAATGGCGTGGGCAGTGTCAGCTGCGGTGCTTCTTGCATCATCCTTTCTGACGCACTCGGAGGCCTTCTTCTCCCCGGGGTCTACCGTTCGTGTCGTTGGACGTGAGGTAAGAAATGGGTCATGAACGTAACATGCACACAGCAGCAAAACCTCGGTCGTGCCCGCATGTACATGAGTGACGTTAAAATCCACTCCCCGTTGCACCGAATTTCAAAGCTCGACTACTCCACGATAAAGAGGATGACAGAATCAAATGGAAGTTACATGAAGTCGGAGAGATCTCTACGAGACAGTTACAACGCCTTCCGCCATTTTCGGCATCGTTCCCGCTTTTGCTGCGGAGTAATCGAGCTTTGAAAATTTGTCCAGGGGCTATGGTATCTTACGTGACATGCGGTACCCCTTAGACTGCCGCCGACCTACACGTAACCGGTCGCCCCGGTGGTCTAGTGAGTAGCCTCGTAGCCTGCTAAGGGCCTGGTCATGGGTTCGAGTCCCGACAGAGTGAATTTTTTCACGCTAAAAAAATCCTGGTCTCCGTTGGAAGCGACGCGCTGCAAAGCTCGTTGTTAGTAAACTTGATCGACTTCATAAGTCGCGAGGGAAGGGATTGCTGTACCCTTCTCGCGATAAAAACATCTCAGGCAGGAACCGCAGCAGGCCCCCCCTCCTATGTGACCCCGGTTGGGTCGAAGTGGAGGATAGGGACCAGAGGGGCAGACGACAGAATCCAATGATGGGAGAAAAACATACAAACAAAAAAGACGTCGGTAGCATTGCAGAAGGTGCACGCGCCAAACCACTTATCATTGCGACACACCCTAAGTATCCTTACGAATAGCGTGTTCTCCCTGACGATTAGGTAGGGTACCTGCAATGAACGTTGAGCGTAACTATTCAGTAGACTATGTATGAAGCCATGCCCTGCTGTTTCAACGTCTCAACTCCGTGAAATCCTCCCCCCCACTCCGCCTAACAGAATCTGAGGAAAGATTCCAAGGATAAGGAGGGTCTAGAAGTGTACGGAATGTTGAAGGAAGGAATAGG